GAGACAAGATTGTCAAAAAATAAACTTAAAAAAAGCTAGGAAATTATTGAGTGCTGGCTTGACTACAAACACTGTAGAAATTCAGAGGAAGGAAAGATCTTAAGGCTTAAGCAAGGATAACTTTCTGGATAGTGGGAAAAGTGGCCTAAGAGGTACCTTGAAGTTGAGGGAGAGGAGCCCAACAGAGCAAAAAGATATCAGTTGTGCTCCATCTCTTCTTCACATTATGAAAGCGATCAAGGCCTGAAATTGAATGGACAGCAATTCAGCCTGAACATGGACCCACGTTTCTTCACACTCAAAAGCTGTGGCTTTAGCATTCTCAGGATAAATTGTAAGGGCTTCCTCCCTAAGGAGTCATTCTTCATTCATGCATGCATTCATTTCTTTTCATTTTCTCAAGTATTTACTGAACATTTACTTTTTATTCAATATTGTACTAGAGTGGAGGGTGATACAAAAATATATGACATAATCTTTGGAAGATTTTACAAGCCGATTGCAGAGAAAAATCACATACAAGCAGTAAAAGCACAAGATGTCATACACATGCCTAATGACTGACAGAGTCAATGTCGATCTGCTTTTGGTGTGTCTTACAGTTCACTGTCCACAGAGATGACATTGCCTGCATCACACTGCTTCTGTGCCTTACACAAGCTATCACACAACAAAGTGCTTTGTATACTGTAAAGTGCTACTCAAACACGTATTATCACCATCTGGAAACAGGGGGAGGGCAGGCAGCTCTGCAGAATTGATCTACGCCTTCAGTGAGAAATTAGAAGCTTGAGAATCGTTAATATGGAGATCTTTAGGGTTGACCAACTTAAAACTGTGGAGGAAAAGTGGCAAACACAGAATTTGTAAATCTCAGAGAGGGCAATGAACTTAACTTCCCCAAACTTCCAACACAAATAAGAACATTTCAAACTCAGGAGCCCCTGAGAGTCCACCCTTTGCTTAAAATTATATGGGGAAAATGCGTTCTTTTAAAAGCCTTTCATGAAATCAAAGTTAATAGGTTCCATCACTTAATGAAGCCTGTTAAGCACAAGTACTACTAGCCCAACACTTCTAAGTTACTTTCTCCCTTCCAGCGTAGAAGGGAACTTAGTTGCTAACGTGTTCTGGCCAAACTCAGGCCTTCCCTATTCTGCTACCTTTCAGATGGCATCTTCTTCCAAAGTGCGTATATTTGCAAGAATTACACCTCTGGAAATTGTCATTACCAGAGAGAACAAGCTATGGAGAACCCATTTTCTCTCCTTTATCAACGAAATTAGATTGAATAGTTTTTTTTTTTTTTCGTTTTTCGTTTTCAAGGATTGATGAAATAGGGGGAGGGAAGCACTTAGATTTTAGAAGCAAGAAATTGAAGGAAAATTTTTAAAGCTTGAGAAAGTTCAAAGTGGGAAAGGGGAGGGGGCATTTTGACACATACTCTTTTAAAATATTGATTTTTTTTCTAAATTCATCTGAAAGTATGACAAATGTTTACTCTGACACCCAATATAGCGTTAAAAAACCCAAATGTCAGGGTGGAAATCTAATGGGCTGCAACCTTAGTGAAAGGAAGGATAAAATATCTTATGTGACCCAGGCTTCCTGAAAATGCCTTATTTTTCTTTTTTGCCATTGTTATCTTTCTAATTTTTATTTATTCACCTCAATCACACTCATCTAGAAAAGAGGAGGAAGAAGCCATTTTGCTAATAGTGTTGCCAACAAAACTTTGCTACTCTCAAATAAAAGGGATTTTTTTCTTTTTCTTTAAGTGGAAATGAGTCAACTTGTTAATACGGTACCTTACTTACTCTTTCAGGAATAGACGTTCGATCATTGGGTGTCTATTTAGAGGTGATGAATCAGCACTCTGTGGAAGTAAAGGGCAGCCATGCCACGCTAAATAGTTTTCCTTGCAGACCTCACAAAGGTTCTTTGAGGCCCAGAACGTATTGATTTCATTAAATGTGCTAATTTAGCAATTCTATGGTTTGAAGACCATAATTACAACGCAATACACAACCTATGTATATAGGCTTATTGCAAGGAGAATAACTTTTGCTCTCAATTTATTAATAGCAAGTGTACACATTTTTTTTTGCAAATGCTAGTTATAAATCTCCCTTATGTACCCACAAGGCTATGTTATTATAGAGTCTTTTATTAATAAACTGAGCAATTTCATACAGTGTTAATGAGTTAGTGCTTATCTCTTGCTCTCTTTTATGGTTAAAATGTGCTGGAGAACTGGACAGTTTATCTAAGCATGTGGGTGACTAAGGTACATGACAGTTTTAATAATTAGGTTTCATCTATCTCTATTTTCACTGATGAAAAAATGTTATACTTGATTTTCTCATTTTCATAGCTGCATCAGAGTTCAGAGAAAACAAATCAAACACAGTAATATGATAATAGAGCTGAATTATAGAACATTTTCACTATAAGTGGATTTTTACTGCATTCTATGTACACTGTGTTTTTGAAACAATTACTGAGACATGAAGAATAAATTAGGTTGTTTTTATTATCCTTTAGAATACTAATTTTATTTAAGGCACATCTGCCTATTTGTAAATGCTTTCTTCTTTGCTATTTCAGGTCTACTTTTTTCTACCAATTGTATACCTACCATGTGCTGGGTACTGTACAAGGAACTTCCACTTTGTTCTATCTACTCAGCTAGATTTATTGGGGGTACAGGGGTTCTAGTGGAGGTGTGTGTATGTGTATGTGTGTGTGTGCTGCCCTCTACTGGACTTGATTTCTAAATAAGTATTTGGGTGTATTTTTCTGTAAGGACAAAGAGAAAGGAGAAAGAAAATTTAGAGAAGACTGATCTCTTTTTTATGTTACTGATAAATTATCTGGGAGTAGGGACTGCATTTTACATAGCCCAGGAATGCCATAGTCTAGTCCAGGATCTTGTACATAGTAGGTGCTCAGTAAATGTTTGTTAAGTAAATAAGGAGCTTAAGAGAATTTTTTTTTTTTTCCAGGATAAATGCAGTCTGAGGAAAAGAACATTGCCTCAACCTTGGAATATATAAGAGGTTTGGAAAAAAAGCCACAAAGCTCATAAGAGACAGCATAGGTCTATACAAGAGCCCACATTGGAGTGATCAACTTTCTTTGCAAATTTCAATATTAATAATTTGGTATCATGTAGGTAGGGATCTAGAACCAGGAAGAAGAGTAACTATTTAGATATCTGCTAAAAATTGTATCCAAGTGGATAAACTTGAGACTTGAATTTGGCTGTGAGGAAAGCAAGTAGAATAAGAAGAGAAATTACTCTTCCATCAAATATCTTATACTTCAACCATATAGCAAATTTCACCTATCTGAAACCCGGCCAACCAGACAAGTAGGAGGGAAAACCTTTTAAGTGTGTGCTCTAGAATAGTGAGGGAGAGATGGTTAATTGCCTAGCGAAATCCATTTGTATCAGCCACATGATGGAATTTGAGCTGGAGAATGGCTGCCCAGCCAGGGACTGAATTTCCTGACCATCCTTGTGTCAGATACGGCCCCTTGGCTCTACCAGTCACAAGCTCGTTCTTATGAATGGAATGAGAATGGAAGCGATAAGTGGTACTTCTACTTAAGACTGTTAAGAAGCTGGTATACTCCTTCTACCTTCTCTTTCCCTTTCCACTGACTGGAGCTGACAACAGCATGGCACAAGATGGAGAGTCTGGGAACCTACTGCTGTACTCACTAGTCAGATGGAACACTAGTGAAAAAGAAACAGGTTTTGTGTTAAGCCTCCAGGATTTGTTTATTACAGTAGCTAACATTACTTACATCACTAATACAGAAATATAAATTCCATATATTCTTCTAGGCTTTACTAATATGCTGTACTCTACTAATACTATACTATACTGCTTTGTATTATACTATACTATGATCCCAATGCTAATAATATACTCTAATGCTAATACTAATACTACACCGTACTATACTATAATACTAATACAGTCATATGCTTCATAACGATGTTTTGGTCAGTGATGTGCTACATATATGATGGTGGTCCCATAAGATTAGTACCTTACAGCCTAGGTGTGTAGTAAACTATACCATCTAGGTTTGCGTAAGTACACTGTATGATGGTCACACAATGACAAAATTGCCTAATGACACATTTCTCAGAACACATCCCCATCATTAAGTAATGCATGACTGTACTAATACTATGCTATAGTATATAAATACTATACTAAACTATACTGTACTAATACATTGAGGCAGAAACACATCTTTTAGAAAGACATCCAAATAAAATTCTGAAAATTTCAACAACAACAACTTTGGTTATTTTTCCAGAGGACATGTATCGTAGGGGCTTCCAACAGACAGGATAGCCCTGCAGCCTATACTGGTCATTAATTTGGTTTGTAGCTCAAGGAGTGACGGCCACAAATAGAAAGAGCAAGCTCTAAGGACACATGAAATATATGATATTGGATAAACCATTGCCTTTTTCTGAGTAACAGTTAGGCAGCCTTGAGAGTGCTAGTTGAGTCCAGGAACAAAGGGCAATGAGAAAACTAATATTCTATTTCCATGCAAATTCATCATAGAAAAGCCAATTTCTGCCATCACCATAGAGTTGACTCTCCACAAAACCAGCATCTTTATCCTTAATGGACAACATGGTAATAGTTTTAAGATATCTTTAATTAATTAATATATTAGCTAATTAAGTTCATTTGTTGTCTTCATTTGTAGTAAATGAAGATATTTGACTCTGTGTTTTAATAAACCTGATACTCTGAGAGAATCTGATAGTGCGCTTTGCTGAATGCAGTTCAGATGTCTCAGAGGAGGTGTCTTGACCTGTGCTGTACACAAACAGGCACTTAATAATGAGCTAGATTGTAATGGAGTTCTGATACGTGCACTTTAGACCCCGTTGCTATCATCCTATTTTCATCAATGATCTTTGCATTTTTTTAAATTGAATAAAAGTATACATAAAAACTCACTTGCTGGGTTAAAAGGTGCTTGAAGTTATTATCCTTCTCTTCCTCTCCTTGTTCACATTTTATTGTACATTTGCCCAGGGGCTCTTGAATAAGACCATGTTTATTAATCAAATAAAGAAGTACATGTAATGATGATCGTTTACTCCTGACCTATAAGAAATAGGTATTTATTTTATTGGTGTAATGAACTTTTATAGTTTCAGAATTTCTTTGCTTTTTAATTTCTCTTAGAGTCCAGGCTTTACAATTTCAAACAATTAAAAGAACAAGTTGATGCAAATCCACGCTGCCAGAGTCTTTGGCCTTTCCATAGCTTTTTGAAATTCTTCTCCTGTTTGAGTTTTCATTTTCTGGTCCACTAAAACATTTTTTAGTGGAATTTTGCCTTATCAAACACTGCTTGAAATAAACTGGCCAATTGTTGCAGCAGAGGGATCTTTTAATCATTTGGAGATCGGAATTATCATGGGTTATAATAAGATCTGACCTGTAGACACAGACAGAAATGTGTTCATGATGGCTTTGTTGTAGTTCTGCCTGGAGGCAAGGTTATAAACTAGATAACCTCCTGAGGTTCCCCATAACTCCATAATTCCACGATGCTAATCTCCTTGAGTGAATCCAACATTTTTATTCCTCCTTTGAAGATACTACTACTCTGTGCTTTGAAAATATGTTTCGCTTTGTTCTTGAGGCATCAGAATATGTTATCAAAGAACAAAGTGGAAATTTTCAGGAAATTTATGAGCGTGAGGTCTACTTCATTTTTCTGAAAGGAAGTGGGAAGATGGAATAGATCTGTGGTTTCCAAACTTTATTTCAATTCAATTTAGTTCAATAAACAAGTATCGAGTGTCTATTTGGCAGACACAGTGGTACAAAAATGAGGAAATAGGGTCTGTCTTATTTTACAGGTTTTTTGTAAAGATGAAATGATATCACCAATATGCACAGAACCTGGTACATAGAAAGCCCTCACTGAAGAGCAGTTATGCAAACAAACACATAGATACAGAGAACATATTGGTGGTTACCAGGGGGCAAGAGGGGAGAGGGTAAAAGGGGTAAAGGGGCGTATGTGTATGGTGACGGAAGGCAACTAGACTTTTGGTGGGGAACATGATGTAGTCTGTGTGGAAGGTGAAATATAACGATATATGCCTGAAATTTATACAATGTTATAAATCAACCTTACCTCAATTTAAAAAAACAGTTATTGACAGTATTAGGAAGCACCTGGACAACTTGAAAGCACTTTGAAATGTAACATTTTGTGGATGCCAAGTTCTCAATGTCTACAGAGTGTTGTTCTAAACAGTACTGTATGGAAGGCAGTGTGGAAAGTCTCCAACAGATCTGGATTTGAATCCTACTTACATCCTTGCTGCCTCGCTCTGTGTCAATTTTCTTTTTTAGGACTGCTAGCTTTCTGAGTAAAGTAACTAGCTCATGGCAGGTTTGCATTCAGAGGTAACCACGGTTATGATTATGATGTTCTAGATGTTTTGGCTGGATCCTCCTTAAAGCCAAGCCTGAGTTAGATCCTTGGGTGAAGGAAGATGATTTGGGAAGTAAGTGCAGGGAGTAGGAGTGAGGGGCTAAGAAAATGGAATAAGGAAGGAGAGAAACTAGTATAAGTGATGAACTGGCCACTGCTACAGTTCATATTCATTCACTCTTGTCAGGACCTTCTGGAAAACATTATGAAATGTATCTCAAAATTGTCTAAAGAGGGAAATGCATTAGTCAGGGTTCTCCAGAGAAACGAGACCAATAGAATATCAAAGGAGATTTTTTTTTTTCAAGATTGGCACCTGAGCTAAGAATTGTTGCCAATCTTTTTTTTTTCTTTCTGCTTTTTCTCCCCAAATCCCCCCAGTATATAGTTGTATATTTTAGTTGTGGGTCTTTCTCGTTGTAGTACGTGGGACGCCACCTCAACATGGCCTGATGAGTGGTGCCATGTCCGCGCCCAGGATCCGAACCAGAGAAACCCTGGGCCGCCGTAGCAGAGCACGCGAACTTAAGCACTTGGCCACAGGGCCGGCCCCTCAAAGGAGATTTAACATGAGGGGTTGGGTCTTGTGATTATGGAGGCTGAGAAGTCCCGTTATCTGCTGTCTGCCAGCTGGAGACCCAGGAAAGCCAGTGGTGTAATTCACTGTGAGTTCGATGGTCTGAGAACCAGGGTTGCTAATGATGTAAATCCCAGTTCAAGGGCAAGAGAAGATGAGATGAGATGTCCCGGCTCAACAGTGAGGCAGGGAAAAAAGGGGAGAATTCCTCCTTCCTCCACCTTTTGTTCCATTTAGGCCAATGGATTGGACAATGCCCATCCACACTGGGGAGGGCGACCCTCTTTACTGAATCCAATGATTCGAATGCTAATCTCATCCAGAAACACCGTCATGGACACACCCAGAAATAATATTTAATCTGGGCACCCCTTGGCCAGTCGAGTTGACATATAAAATTAACCATCAAAGGAAGTATTTATTCAATGGCTCCCAGACAGTGGTGGGCAGGAAGGGAGGGGCATGGGACTCAGGCTTGGGCTTGAGGTATGGCATCCCAAGGTTGCATCAGAGTGAAGCAATTGCTTGGAAAAACTAGTTTTCACAGTGGCTCAAGCAAGGGGTGAGGTTGAGAGAATATACAGTGGTGCACAGAGGTGTCCACAGCTGCAGGAGGTCCAAGACAAACAAACAAGGCAGTCAAACTGCATGCTGATTTGGGAAGAGACACACTTGTGAAGTATGAAATGCATTTAAAGGAATTAATAAACTAAATTTCAAGTGGGTGTTCAAGGATCTGTTGATCATAGGAGGCACCCGGGTGTGTTTCATTGTTCCTGCTGCATATCCTTGGAACCCTGTTCTCATATCGCATCAGTTATTGGGGTTTGGGGAAATAAAAAGAACATGGAAGGTTCACACCTTGAAATGCAATAAAAACTGTGGGAGTAGATCATTTTTGCTGTCCCTTCCTACTTTCTAATATTGTATAAAACAGAACTCCAAAGAACAGAACTTCTCGGATTTAGGTTGGTCAGCAAATCTTTAACTAGAGGAGAAAAATGAAATATAGATGTCTTGAGTTGTAGCTGTATTCAGAAAAGAGCCCTCTTTACAAATTTTTTGAATCAAAAGATTGTTTAATCTTTACCAACAAAGGGAAAATGATTTTAAAAGGAGAGAGAGCGATGCCCTCTATTCTCCTACCTCCATAGCTATTAGAATTCACATTTCTAGCAACTTTTTGTCCTCTCCAGAGGAAAACCTTTATTCACCTTTAAGAATTGTTGGTGTAACATTAGCCCTCACGGGTTTCCCAGTAAGCTGCTGTAAAGACTTCTGTATTTCTATCAAGTCTGGAAGTGTGCTGGCAGAACGTTTGGGCAGCAGAAACAACATTCTCAATGAGAAAAAATTTGAGACTGTCACCCAACTGCCATTTGGCTTTGCTTTGAAGATTGTATAAAAGGAATCAAGATTCACTTATGAGATATGCTCATCACTGAATAAACAATCTATTCAAATATATAATTATATGCCTCTGAGTAGGCAGTCATGGTCATATTACTTATTGAAAAATTTTAAAGTGATGGGGCTTTATTATTTAGTGAGAATTTAAGAGTTAAGGATCGGCTGAAAATAGTGAGTGAAACTTTCTTCTCTTTTTTTAAATGCCGTGTCACAATTTTAAATTTTCTGTTATGATAAAAGCTATGCAAAATTAACAGAAATTATTATTTCAGGTTTCTAATTCTTGGTGGTTTATTTTGCATCTTATATATTGTTGATTTAGAATTATGTCTTTATCAAAATTTCATATATGTGTGTGTATATTAAAGAAAACATGCCCTTTAACAGCATTTATTTATGCTCAATGTGTATAAATTTATGTTTATATAGAAATTAAAATTTGTGTACCTTCAATTTTAATAAAAATGTCTATCAGTACTATCACAATATATTAATTAATAAGTTGTTTTTCTTTTTTTAAAACTGATTATAGTTCAAGATTTTTATTTCTCTAAATGTCTACAGTTTAAAAAATCTGCTATGATATGGTTACTTAGTATTTTGGAGATTCTCTTCCAAAAATATATGAAAATCATCAATCATATCATAGCTCTTTGATTACCCAGAGGGACTGATCTATCAAAAAACATGAGTTTAAATTAACTCTTAATTAGGAGGAAAAAATTAAAATTCCATAGGTTGTGTTAATCAAAAATTGGTTGAACATGTTTAACTTTAGCAATTGGATGGTTCATTTTCCTCTCTTCCCAGACATCTTTTGTCTTCCTCCTAATTACTAGGGTGCCTGTGCAAACTCAGAAATTGTCAGAAGATGAAATACTGAAATAAGTCTTTTTCATTGTTGTTCTGCTGAGTTGATAGGGAAAGAATCAGAAATCAGAGTTTTCTGATGCTCACAATAATGAGTCGGAGTCCTTATTGTAAGAGGTAATATGGAATACTTTGGATAAAATGCCGAGTGAATTAACACCATTTTTAGATTAATCAGCAGTGCCTGTGTCTGCACAGACTTATTAGTTCATCTCTTTTAACTGAAATGATTGGTCACTTCCAACAATAGATTTGAGAGATTTTTAAGGTTGAAATGCAAAAAGACAAACATTGTTTACATGCATTATACCCATTGGGACTGAATTTTCCACTCAATTGATTAAATTACCAAATTAAGAGCAAAAGTTTAGTGTTCTATCTACATAGAGTGACCTTCCAAGCATAGTCTGCACATGGAGAGTAGAAGGTCAGTGACCCAAAACATTTACTTTGTGTGAAAACAGAGTCTTACTTGGGTGGAAAGCCAGCTTCTTTCCTTTAATGTTGCTAACTGTGTCTAAGCTTGTGTCTCCTTTTATTCCAGAAACATCGCTGCTTGTTATGTTTCTGTATACACCTGGGAAATGACGTTTCTAAGACTAAGAAAGACACTCCCTTGGGAACTAAAAATTGGTCAAAAAGCCTTTCGTCTCCTATAATTTTGGAGTCCAGCCTGAGTAAACCATTGGCTTCATTTCAGGGGCTGTGTCCCTACCACTCTCTCATGTGGGAATGGCAAATGAAATATTTAGGTGGGGTTTTTGGAGACTTCCACATATTTGGACATTTTTTTATCTCCTTTTTCAGACAAAATATCTGAAAAAATGAATGCAGATGCTCTCTTAAATTGGGCAAATTTGAAAGCCAAGCCACATACTTTCAAAGTGAACTGGTAAATTAAAAGAAGTACAGTATTCTGTTTTCCTCTGGCACTACTTGCAAAGGTTTCATCTCCCTTCAGACCCATGTGTACGTGTCAGGAATTGAATATCAGTTCATTGTTATCAACTCTCTTGGAAGGATTCATTAATTTTATAACACAACATCTCTTTACAATGAATAGTTCCACAAACTGGGAGCTTCGTTATTTTATTCATCGCTAGCCTGCTTGGCATGCTGCAGGATTCTTTGGGAATAGTTCTGTAGGATGAGACTATTCCCATTTTAAATAACCCATGCATCTGTTCATGCAGCGTCATCAGTAAAGCAAATAATAAACCACTTTCAAGAAAGCCTATAAAAGGCTCTCCTCCCCATCCTGAGCTGGAGCATCATCCTCCCCAACACCAACTCTTATTCAGACCCAAGAAAACGATCTAAGTAAATTATCATGGCTATTAACCAGTGGAACCACGGAAGGAAAATGGAAGACGATGCCTCAGCTGTGGGATCTGTCAGATCTGGGTTCAAATCCTAAATCTTGGAAATGTTTACTCAATCTCTCTGAACTTTAGTATCCATGTCAGTAAAATGGGGCCAACAGTACCTTCAGCATGGAAGTGACATAGTAATTGCATGAGATAATAAATGTAAAAGGTAAATGCACAGCTTCAATTATTGGTTGGTATTTCAGTCAACGGTTTTATCAGTTAGATTACTTTGAGTTTTAGGTAATTAAAATCCAACTCAAATAGCTTAATAAATTGGTTTATATGTCATATGACAAGAAGTCTCTGGCTGAGGCAAAGAGGTCCAAGGGTGATGAATTCAATGATGCAGTGATGCTTGCAGAGATCAAGGTCCCCCAACTTTCTACTCAACCATTCTGAATATCCTCCCTGGGCTAATTCTCTTCACAAGATAGTCTCTTTAGTTTTAGGGAGCGTGAGAAAGAAATGTCCACAGGCAGAAAATGGGGCTTTTTAGTGCTTATACGTCTCTTGTAATTGTTTGGAAACCTTTTCTAGGAACCATCTGTCTCTCTCATCTGTAACTTGGTTAAAATTATGCCCTTGACCACAATACTTACTCCCCAGTCACTGGGAACAGAGGTGGGAGCAGCATAAACTAATCGTGATTCGTCCTTTGGGCCCAGGGCTAGAGATGGAGCTGGGACCCACTTCCTTAGGGGCACCTGGACGTGCCTACCTGATTGAAATCTAGGTACCGTTAGCAAGATTTAAGGTGAGAAATAGCTGTTGGATAGGCAAACAACAGTGTCTGCTGCACAAGTAATATCTTAAACTCCACCATGGTCTTCTCAAGGTACCAAATGCTGAAAGAACACAAAAGTTGCTCCCTGTGAGGTGTAAGAATTGAGTGGGAGCAGACAAGAGATTCGAAGCAAATTCTCGTGTAGTCCTACCTGGCAAAGAGCAGTGTTTCTCTAACTTGAATGTACATGCAAATCACTAGAGGATCTTACTAAAATGTAGATTCTGATACAGCACTTCTAGAGTGGGGCCGAAATTCTGCATTTCTAACAAGCTTCCACGTGATGCTGC